ATATCTATCTATCTATCTATCTATCTAAAACTTTACAATAAGGTTCAATTTGTTAACTATATTTAATGTGTTAACTAACATTAAGTAACAATGAGCAATACATTTATTATAATATTTATTAATCTGTTAACGTTAGTTAATAAAAATGCAACTGTTTGTTGTTAGTCCAATAACATTAATAGATACAATAATAAAAGACAAAATGTATAATATATATATTAAAGTCTGCAAAATAAAAAAGAAACTGCAGAGTCATTGTCTCATTTCTATTTTATTTTATTTCTATTTTATTTAAAAATGCTAATGCTAAAATAAGTATTAAAATAAAATAAATTGTAAAAATGCTAACCGTTTTCTTTTGTGGGTGGGATTTGGTTTAATCTGTAATTATCGTTTGCATTATATGAAACCATTGAAGTCTATGGTATGTACTCATTTAGACAGGCATGTAAGCATGTGTTTGTGTGAGTTATGGTTTAGGTATTCTTTGGTAATCATTACTGTGACTAATATATACCTGGAACACCATTACTTCAACACTCCTGTAATTATTGTGGTTATGAAACGTATTAGGCAATGCAAATTTCTACTGTTTCATTTCCTGTTAGACAGGGAGTTAAGGAGTTAAAGGTAATTAAAGCAATGGAGAAGACTGATTTTCAATTTACATAGTCCCTCATTGTCCTTTATTACATCCCACTGACAGAACTCAAAACACACACATACACACATATATATGCCCACAGAGATCCTGTTCAGCATAAACATACACCACATTTATAAACCCTGACCATCTTGCATTAATACGTATTTTGAAAGGTGCAATAGGGCCCATTTGTTCAAATTAAGAAATATTAAATATTAACTTTTTGGATTTTCTTCTCATTTTTACCTCCTTATTTTACTTGATATAAAGCAGGGTTTTGTTGTGATAAACAGGGTTTGAAGGATGTTTAGAAAATTCAGCATAAAAGTTTTACTAATTGATCTCAACATAACCAACATCACGTTTGTTTTTACATTTTACATTTGCCTTGATTTGCATCCAGCCGTTTATCCCGCTGTCACCAGCTCCTCTCAGTAGCGTTCCTATCTGTTCTCCCTCAGGTCACACACACAAAGTTGGAGAACAATGTCATAAGCATTTCCATGTCCTGCCATAGGTTCTCATAACCTGCACCACAGGCCTCTTTGATATTACAGAGGGTCTACAGAGTGACGTAATTTCCATCCTCTGTATGTACTGTATGCGTGGACAGTGGAGTGTCTTTTATTTATGTCATGCGATTGGCTTTTCAGCTGTGTGTTGTGCATGTTGCGATGTGACAGCCTGCAGGTCAATCAGAGTTCAGATGTTGTCTCTGCTCAAGTGAATATGCAGAAGGTGAGAGAGGTATGAGTGGGTTGACACATCAATCAGGTTTATATTGGCATTAAAATACTAAGTGATTTACACAAAGTAGGTGGAGATAAAATCTCAGTCTGACAGAGAGAAAAAAGAGAGAGAGAAACAGTGCCACATGTACAGACAATGTAGCAGGTAAAGAAATATTTAGCAAATGCTTTGCTAACCATATCAATAGCCTATACAATTACAAAAACATTTTTTTCAGTGAGACTATATTATGCCATGTAAACAATAGCTTAAATTATATAGTTTTTAGATTATAAACAGTTTATATTTAGATTCTAATTTAGATTATTTAGAGAATAGCCTAATATGTATTATTGCAATAAATTATTATCGCTATATATAATATAGATGTATATAATATAGCTATATATAACAACAACATATATTAACAATAATAATAACACATTTAAATTGCTATTATTGACAGAGAGAAGCCAATTTAGTATATCTTAGATTTTTTTATTATATATATTTTAAAAACAAATTTTAAAATGTATTTAAGGCCAATCTAACAGAAAGTACAATGTATGCAGCTTATACAGTAGTTACATAATAAGAGAGCTTGAAATAAAGAAGAGAGTTTGTTACAGTTTTTCTCAGTCGCTTGGTGCATTTCTCGAATCATCCTTAATATTTGCAAAAAAGTATGTGCATTTCTCAAAACAATTCGTTCAAACAGCACCACACAATAGCAGTAAGATAGAGCTGAATGGTGACCCCTCCTCTTCTTTCTCTGCAGTACAGGATGTCTTTCATCCACCCTTTCCAAGAGGATCAAAAGCCCGTTAAAACTGACCCCAATGCATTTTTCTCTCTCACACACGTAGTTTCCTCTGCCAGATACCCCTTTTATCCACATTGTGGAAATGAGCCCCTATTTCCTTTTTTAATGTTTAGCTCATTACTCATGCACACACTTACATTAGGCTTATACATTCAGATGAATGTCCTGCCAAATTCAAACACCCTATTTACGCTAAACTTCCTCTAGCTCATAAATTCAGTGCAGCGACTGTAAACAGGTTAGCTCTGCTTGTGTAAATATAGGACTGTATCTTGTTAACAATTCTTCAATGTATAGGCCTATCACATTTCCGTGTGATATTTCGCTGTCAGACAGATACCAAACCAATCAATTATATTTTATAAATTTTAAGTGAATATACACGTCTTCTGAAAAGCAGTAGTTTTTATGGCTGTACGCACATACGGCAGGCATGTGATTGAGAATAACTGCTCAACAATCTCTGCTTTTGTTGCGCCCCCAACTGGTCAAGTTTGGCACATACAGTTTCATTTATATTTCAGTTGTACATAGAACATTTTATATCTACTTATTCACTGCTACCCAGAAATTATGTGTACGTTATGTTAATATGTGCCACTTTTAATATCTATTTTAACTGAAACAATATTGACGTAACATACAATAATACAAAAGAATTTGTAAAAAAAAAATATATATATATTGCCTTAGGTGTTCAGTGATTAGTGGGTGTTTTAACATAGGATCAAAATATAATATACAATATACCATAATAAACCACAAATGTCTCTTGCTGGAGTTGTCTTCAATAAATCTAATTATCTGAATATTTACAAATAAATTACCTTTGCAAATAAAATACAACTCACTAATACATATAAATGACGAATAAATGAGGAGAAATAGTAAACTATTCAAATGAGAACCAAACTGCATAACTAAACCTTTGAAGTGGCTCTTGGCTTGAACAGAAAGAGACCTGAAAGCCGTACAAAAATTTTTTTTAAATGATTTTAAAATCTTGAAATAAAACTTTTTCAATTCACTGTACTATGCAGTTCATCAAGACGTCAAGAGCTCAAAATAATGTTATTACAGTAACAGTGCTGTGTGAGAGTGATGTTTAGGTGTGTGTGTGTAATAGGAAGCCTATTCACAGAATTTCCTGTGCTGGCTCAGGACCCATGGGAACACACTGACGAACACATTCAAGCAGAACAATAATGTAGAAACATTTCATTCTTTTCCACCATCATGTGCACACAGTGCCATCCAAGTGTAAAATTGAATTTTAAAAAAACACTTTTTAACCAGAAGTAACATGAATCAGTGCTAATTCATAAACTGACAAAAACAATTCTCATTCCCTGTTATTCATTCTGTATTATTTGTCTGTTCCACTCTCACTCTGTACCTCACTTTGTACTATACTGATGTTTCTGGTCATTTTGAGTCTTATCGCTGTGTTGTGACCCATGGTGTAGTAATTGCCACTTTCATATCAGGAATGTGGAACCATCATCAGCAGTGGGTATACGCTGAACAAACAAACAGTGGAGATCTTAAGTGAGTTATCTTATTTTACTAACATTTTCTCTGTTAATTAGCTGGATGGATCTTTGGCGGTGGCCCTCTTGAGAAAATAGCCGAGGCTACATGACGTGTTTACACTGTTGAACATCCCTTGTGGTGCCGTCACACGCAACACAGTGCGTTGAGGCCGCAAGAAAGTCAAATTGGATTTGATTCCTCAGATTAGTTCAGAATGATTGAGAAAATGGCGTTCCCAAGAGCCCAAAAGGCCTTATCTGAGGGAAAGTATCTCTGCCGTGCACTATTTAAGGAGATAAGAGAGGGCATAATGGCACACGGTACTTGGGTGGTCTGTGTTGTGTGGTGTTATGGTGCGGCGCTTTCCCAGAACAAGTGGAAGTAACGCCATATGCATTGTGAAAATGGTTCATAATCTACATGTGACCTCACAGGATGACTTTGATGTTGAACATTGTGTAATTGAAATACAATTATTTAAACTGAGTGTTGCATCACAGCATGAAACTCAAAATCTGGTGCGTGATGTTATATAGGCCTGTTATATGAAATGATTAATAACTTTTATACACAATTTATAAATTATATTAATTTAATTTATATATTATATAAATTAATTCTATAAATTAATTCTATAAATTATATACAAAAAATTATTTGAATTTGAATCATTCATTCAAATATCTATCTGTCCCTTGTTTACATTCTTATTACCATTTGTATATAAAATTAAGGTTTCATTCATATTTAATGATGATTAAAGTTCAAAATAAAACAAGGAAGGAGAAATCCTAAACTAATACTAGACAACTTTGATTCAGTCAGGAGTCATCTACCAAAACGTTGTATATTAAAGTTATTTAGTTCCCAAGCAAGTTCGAGTAGTGTGCAGGATTTTTCATTCTTTTGTTTTATTTTGAACTTTTATTCGACACACCTAGGCTACAACATATTCAGTCTCACCATATACCTACTATATTTTTATTTTTATGATGATAAAAATTTAAAGTGTTAAAATGGTGAAATTGCTATGTTTTCGCTTTCTTTCACTCATTCTCCAGAAACATGAGAATTTTCCAGCAAATACCAACAGTTCAGATCATCAGTCTTCTTTTTCACTGCATTGTCATTTGTAGGCATTTACATTTTTAAAATAAAGAAGAAATAGCATATTCCTTAAAAATTACATTACAGTTTGCATGTCTACACTCTGTGGCTCAATATGATGCATTATTCGTGTGACTGTCATGTGATTCGTCGTGTGGGCGGGGCCGCAGCATCTCAACCGGAACTGTTTTTCAGAGGATAGAAGCTTTGTGTAAAGATTCTCTTCACTGCCTTTACCTCTGTAAGTAATCGCAATGTTTTATTCTACCTTGCTTTGCGGATGATAAAGCAGGGTTCTTATTATGTGGAAAAACTATCGTCTTAATAAATTCGTTGTCGTCGGCTTGTCATTTCTGTCGGACTGTTTTTAGCATTAGCCAGTCAGCTATTGTCAACTGTCAGAGCTGCTGTTTATGTTCATGTTTTGTTTGACAACCTCACCATAATGTATGTAAATTAGTTTTTGTCTTAAATGATTTGTGTATTTTATCTTTGTGAAAATTCATGTTGGGTAACACTCTTCGTCAGTTCATTACATTGTCAGTAACGTTAATTACAAACTCATGAAACAGCTACTATATTATAAAGCCTTAACCAGTTTGTATGCATAATAATTTAAGCAAAGTAAGAGCGTATAAATCAAATTTGACTTCAGTATCATTTGTTTAATTTGGTTTGATGTCATTTCTATGAGAGATCTAACATCTTGTTTTGTTTTGGGGTCACGTTCTGTTTGTGCTTTTCTTCCGTCTCATCTTCAGTTAACGTTATGTGTTTTTCATGATTGTCAGTGTTAAATAATAGCAGCAACTTAAAATGCAACCCAGGGCCCATCATGCTTTGCAGGAGCTCAGTTTTTAATGTATTATTATAGCTGAAATCATAATGTAAATTGAAACCAGATTATAGCTAAATTGTTAATGAAGTTAATTATAATTTTTTCATGTGTTGATTATTGAATGCATGTTTTCTATTTTTGCTATTTGGTGTTTATTGGCTACGGCTTTTAGAGATAGAAGTAAAACACTGCAAATCTATTTAAATCTATTTGTCTTGCAAACATAAACTTGCAGCAATTAATAAAATTCTTGCCGATAAAATAAGCATATAATTATTTATATCATGGCCAATATTTAGAATTTATACTATTGTGTCTAATAAAAGCACTAAGTAGTCATTTTGTAAATGTCGAAAAATTATATGCAGTCAGCAGTATGATGCTCTCTTGTTAAATAGTTTGTTCAAGCTCCTGCGATTACATGTGGAGTGTTAATTTCTCCTGCTGAGAGAGTGTGTGCTGTAGGTGGGGGGTCACTGTGTTTATGAAGGGGGCTGAGTGTTGATAGGACGGCGCTTAGTAATTTGTCTGAGACGAGCTCCTTATTCCATAGAGACTCTCAGGTGTCAGTCATCTAAGCAGTCAATCATTTCCAAATGTTGCCACACAGAAGTGTGTGTGTATGTTTGACTTTACCATTTTCACTTTCATCAGACTTTGCTGTAACTGAGCAGTAGACATTTTTTGAAGTTAAAATGTAATCCTTTTAATTGTTTGTTTTATTTGATTTGTTTTTACCCTCCCTTAAGCTATTTTTTCTTTTCTTTTTTCTTTTCTTTTCTTTCGTTCTTCCTTTTGTTCTGTAAAAACTACCCCACTGATTTTTGTTTTGTCAAAAAATGCCAAGCCGCTTCATAGATTATTTTCCCAATTTTCTTCTTAATTTATTTTCAAAATTATTGTTGTCACTTTGACATTTTTGCCACGCTTTTGAGTTTTGAATGAGAACATACTCATCATAAAAGAGGTGTATTTAAATCATAGTATGCATGAATTGCATTTTAGTGGACATCCAGACAAAAAAAATAAATAAATAACACAGGGCACCATTGACCTATGTAATCTATAAAGACAATTTTACTATTTACCAAGGTATTGGTATCATCATAAAAATGCTGCAGTGAATATACTTGTCAGACACCCAGTTTATATTACTGCTAGACGTCTTCTGAAACTGCACTGTGGACTCTGAGGGTCTGCTGTAGAACTCAACCATCACCCTGTCCCCCTTTATCTCTCTCTCTGGCCCATACCAGAGACCACACAGACACAGAAACACACACTACCAGACCACACAGAGACAGCCATGGGGTCTTGCACGCAAACCTCCCTGGAGCTGTCAGTCTTGTGCTCCGTGTGGGTGTTTGCATACAAGAGAGAGCGTTTGTGACAGTGCAAAAGCCACAGGAAAAATGCCTTGATTGCTGAACTACTAGTCATATTGCATATAGTGTAGCATCCGTGTCACTCCGAACAGTAACACGCTCGCTCGGTGTGAGCCGGATGGGTAGATTTATTTGTTCATGTCTAACAGTTTTTGAATGCACTGAACGTGCTGAATGCCTCCTGAGCCTAAACAAAACACTTAGTGTTTACCTGTGTCTAGTCTAGGTGTTTAAAGGATGTCTCGTGCACGCCAGCCTCCCTTGGTGACTGGCATCTCACCCAACGAGGGCGCGCCGTGGACCAAAGTCACTATTCGTGGAGAGAACCTGGGCACTGGACCCAATGATCTCATAGGTAATACACATGCACATAGCCATTGCATTACAGATACACACCCTCCTTTTGAACAAACATTCACTAGCGTTCAAAGGTTTGGGGTCATTAAGCTTTTTTTTTTTTATTCAGCAAGGGCACATTAAATTGATCATAAGTGACAGTGAAGACGTTACAAAAATTCTATTTAAATTTTTTTTTGTTATTTTGAACTTTTTATTTATCAAAAAAATCCTGAAAAAATAGATCACGGTTTCCTTTAAAAATATTAAGCAGCATAATGATTTTCAGCATTGATAATAATAAGTAATAGTGATAATAGTAGTAGTAAATACTATTTTTAAATTGTAATAATATTTCAAAACATTTTTGAGTAGATAAATGCAGTCTTTGTGAGCACAGGAGACTTTTTACAAAAACATTTTTAAAAATCTTATCGACCCCACACATCTAAACACTAAAATTCAGAAATGTTCTGAATTTCACACATTTTCTTCTGATTTAGCAAAGGGCTAATAAAGGAAAAATACAAACATCCATCTGTTAAAATGAATTTCTTCATACAGAAATGATTAGTCTATGAAATCTGGGGGGAAATAAATAAATCAGTTTTGGCATGGTTTAAAGAGATGCTTCATAATATTTTATTATGAATCTGCAACTCAGTGAATCTGTAAATCAAGACGAGAAACTAAAATCTAAAGTAATAGTTTGTTCAGATAAGCAGCAAAATTTTTATTTTTTTATAGTTAGTGTTATTAAACACATCATTTTTTGTAATTAAGCAGCACAAAAAAAAAAAAATTTATTTTTTGATGCCATTAAGGACCTGAGCTGAGGCAAATTTGGCCATTTTATTAACATCCTTTTCTCTTGGTCTTTGTCCGTCTCTGTCTGTCAGGTCTGTCTATCTGTGGTCATAACTGTTTGCTGACAGCAGAATGGATGTCTGCTAGTAAGATAGTGTGTCGAGTGGGTCCTGCTAAAGATGACAAGGGCGAGATCATTGTCACCACCAGGAGCGGAGGCCAAGGGACATCCACGGTCTCCTTCAAACTGCTCAAACCCGAGAGGATCGGTGAGACACACACTCACAGTGCCCTCTAACTCATGTACACACACTCTGTGCATGTTTACAATGCTCAATCTTACACCAATTATGCTTAACCTTGTTGTAAGGTCATGTAAACATCTTAAACTGTGCCCTTTCATTGCGTAAAGATCTGCTTATCATAAAATGATTGCTACACCTAGTTTTATACCAATTGAAGTCAGTTTATGTTTTGATGTAAAAAACAAACAAACAAACCAAAAATCCTGATAATTTCGGATCTCATGTAAAAGTGTTTTTTGCATTATCAGCATATTGTTGTGCATGTAAACACACTCAATGTCTGTTAAAGGCAAAATCATAATTTCGGTTTGATTGATATACACTCCTTGAATGTACACATATGCTCTTTGAAGACGGCAATGGATTTTAAGCCCTCAACCAATGAGTATGTGCATGTTTTTTTGTGTTTAGGCATTCTGGATCAATCTGCGGTCTGGCTTGATGAGTTGAATTACTATGACATGAGGACTGATCGCAACAAAGGAATCTCTCCTCTCTCGTTGAGGCCGGCCAACCCTTTGGGCATCGAAATAGACAAGTAAAGAAACATTCACAATTGAATTTGTGTTGTCCTCTTATGAACTTCGAAAGTAATACATTTACACCTACAACTAAGCACACATATTGCTCTACTTAAGACACACACACACACACAGTCTGGTTCACTATCCTTGTGGGGACTCTCCATAGGCGTAATGGTATGGTTTTTATACTGTACAAACTGTATTTTCTATCGCCCTACACCAACCCTACACCTAAACCTACCCCTCACAGAAAACATTGTGGATTTTTACAATCTCAAAAAAACTCATTCTGTATGATTTATAAGCTTCTGTACCCATTGACACAAGTTCCCATGAGTTGGTGTGTATTTAGGTTTAAGTCCCCACCAGTGTAGAAAAACCTGTACACACACACACACACACACACAGACACATATGTGCTTCATTTGATTAAAACACACACTCACATAGACCAAAACAAATGCATTTCCTCACACACTTCACCCAAAAAGCACTGCCCTGTGTTTATAGAAGTGGACTGCTGTGTTTATAAGGAAGGAGGTTCAGCAGAAAGTAGAAACAGCCCATTGTGTGGATGTCTTCTACCTGGATGAAGTCATTGGTACACTATTTCCTTTGATAGGAAGTGAAACTCTTCCTTTCCCTGACCTCTGCAGCACCTTTAACCATTTACTCATTTATATCTATATATTCAGTCAGATGAGATACACTACAGTTCAAAAGTTTGGGGTGGATAAGATTTTGTAATATTTTTTAAAAGAAAAATCTTATGCTCACCAAGCCTGCATTTATTTGATTAAAAATATAGTAAAAACAGTAATTTGTGAAATATTACTACAATTTAAAACAATCTATTAATAATATTTTATATATTTTATAATGTAATTTATTCCTGTGAGAGCAAAGCTGAATTTTCAGCAGCCATTACTCCAGTCTTCAGTGTCACATGATTCTTCAGAAATGTTTCTAACATGTTGATTTTTGTATTTCTTTCAAAAAATAAATCTTACTGTACCCAAACTTTTTCAGCGGTATATGAGTCATATGTATTTCATCAGTCTATTCTGTGACACATCAAAAGACACAGTGGGTTGGCTTATGCAATGCTGTTTATATGTGGACAGATCTGGTTTGTGCCCTGTCTTGTTTTCTTTATGGTCTGGACTGTGGTAGATCAGATGGTCTATGATCTGTGGTGTTTTCATGATGAGTCTTTATAGACCAGCTGTGTGGTTGTCTTAATTCTGTCTTTTGTTTTTCAGAGGGAATGTTCCTCTGAAGGATCTGGAGAACATGTTCCCTAGTATGAGTGGAGACTTCACTAGTGAGAATTTCTCTGCCACCTGGTATCTCATCGAGAACCATTCTTCAACCAGGTCGGTCTATATACCATCCATCTGTATATTTGTTAATCTGCCAAAATAGATTTTTGTGTGATGTGTGTTATGTTTGTTGCTGTTTTAGCTTTGAGCAACTGCGTGCGGCTGTGGTAAATCTTAAGAAACAGGCCAGTAAGAAGAATGAGGGCAGTCTGGCCTACGTGAAAGGAGGTCTCAGCACTTTCTTTGAGGCTCAGGATGCTCTTGCAGGTACGTGTGCTTGGTGTGTACATTTAAACACATATAAACACAGCCGTAAGTAATTCAGTTCTTGCATTTGACTGAAGGAAACAGAAGCATATTTTAGGGAAACAGAATATTGTGCTGGAAGTAATATAGGGTGGGACTGGATTGTAGCCATGAGGATTTTGTTGCCTTTAGGTCATGTTGGAATGATTGTGTTAAAATTACTCATCCAGTAAATACAATGTTGTAATGACCATTGGGAAGCTCAGGATTTCTTTTGAGTTCCACTTTTTGAGTCGATTTGAATTAAAGACTGGAAGCAAATTTCACAAATCAGTTTAATTTGTGAATATTGATTGTAAAGTATAGTTTTTTTTTTAACTTTTTGAATATTTTCTGTGGACTTCTGGTGAAGAATTGTTAAGCTTGCCAGAACATTTTATGACACTACCAAAACATCAGTGTAAAATTATGATTTAAATTACATACCGTTTTTTCAGCTATCTTGGAAGTCCTCTGAGAAATGTAATCTTGTTCTGATAGAAACGTTCATGATTGTGATAAAAAAAAATTCCCATAAAGTGTATAATTTAAAAAGTTTTTTTGACCTTCATTGAATAACTCATTGGGTTGGTTCATATATTAAGTATTAAAAGTAAAGCTCAAATAGACAATATGAATGCTAATATGGATGCATTTAACAAAATTAGTTGCATGGGACTTTTATTCAAGTTTCTTTCACTTCTTACGTCATTGTACACAGGTGTATGTGTCTCTACTCAGACTGCTGTCATCAGAGGTCAATGTCACTGTGCAGATTCTATTTTTCAAATCTGTCTGTGTGTGTTGGATTTGTCTCGGGTCACTTGTCTGAAGTCAAACAGAAGAACTATTCTTAGCACTGCGTGTCCATGTGATTGACATGCATGGGGACGGATAACAAGGCATGGTTGTCATAATGTTTAGATGAGGTTGTAATAAGGTTGTCATTGTGCTGAGAGGAAACGAGAGAGCAGCAAACGGAAGCTGCACTGATTCCCAGAGAAGACTCCCAAAACTTACCAGGCAGAAGTCAAAACATACCTCAGAGACAGAGGAAGTGTACCACACAGCATTCCGGACCCCGGGGGGAGCCGGAGGTTAGCCCTGACGCCATTGTGTACAGAAGTATCCCAAATCCAGATGTGGAGAGAGAAAAGAGACTTAGTTAGAATTAGTTTTTTTGTGCAAAGGTTTATCTTCCAATTTAGGCACTCTATAGCATATATCTATATCTATATATATATATGCTTTTATATA